TTTGCTCACTTTACTAGCTGCAGCATCACACTGAAGGCTCATGTTCATCTTGTGGTCAGTCATGACCCCCAAGTCCCTTCCGCCTGTAGTGCTAGCCAGTGTAGCACTGCAGAGCCTATAAGGTTGCTGCAGGTTTTTCTTCCCAAGGTGGAGAACCTTCCATTTTTTGGTGTTAAACACCATCAGGTTCTCATCTGCCCATTTCCTAAGTCTGTCAAGGTCAGCCTGGATCACTCTCCTGTCCTCTGGTGTGGATGCTTTACCTCAGAGTTTGGTGTTATCGGTGAACTTGGCCAGTCCGCTTCTGATACCAATGTTCACATCATCAATGAAGATGTTGAATGGTGTAGACCCAAGGACAGAGTCTTGAGGGACTCCTCTGGTCACAGGGCACCACAACAATTGACTTCCATCAACCACCACCCTCTGGGTCCTACCACGGAGCCAATTTCCCAAGCCAGCAGATCACGGTGAGGCTGAAGCCTAGGCCTCAGTTGGCCGGTTTTGCACAGAGGTGATCATGGGATACCAGATCGAAGGCTTTTTTAAAGTCAAGATATATGACATCAAGCTCTTCTCCCTTGTCCAGGTGATAGGTCACCTGGTCATAAAAAGAAATAAGATTGGTCAAGCAGGAACTACCCGCAACAAACCCGTGCTGGCTATCTCTCAGGATGTTGCCATCAGCCAGTCTGTTAAGAATGGTCTCTCTGATAATCTTTTCTAAGGCCTTCCCCAGGACAGAGGTCAGGCTGATGGGCCTGTAGTTTGCCGGATCCACTTTCCTCCCTTTCTTGAAGATAGGCACCACATTGGCCTTCTTCCAATCTTTGGGCACTTCACCAGAGCGCCAGGAGTTCTTGAAGATCCGTGCCATGGGTTGAGCTATGATGCTACCCAGTTCCTAGACTACCCTGGGGTGTAAACTGTCAGGGCCGTCTGACTTGAAGGTGTCTAGCCTCTCAAGGTGTTCCTTCATGAGATCAGCATTGATGGAGGGTAAGGAATCTCCTTCCCCCGGGCCTCCCTGTCCCATTATGAGCAGGGGCATCCCGTGGGACTGGTGAAAGACTGACACAAAGTGCCCATTTACAAAGTTTGTTTATTCCTGGGCGTCAGTTGTCCCATCTGGTTTAGCAGGGGTCCAATGCTGCCCTTGCTTTTCCTTCGGCTCCCCACATATCTAAAAAAGGACTTTTTATTGTCCTTGATACTTGTAGCTATTTACAGTTCTGTCACAACCTTGGCTTTCCTGGTTCACTCTCTGCAGGTCTGGACCGGTGCAGAATATTCCTCCTTGGAGGTGGATCCAGTCCTCCATCCTTTGTAGGTCTGTCTTTTTAGCTGCAGGAGGTCCACTAGTTCCCTGGAGTGACAAGGGGGCTGCTGTGCCCTTTTGCTGCCTTTCCTCTTAGATGGAATAGACTTTGTTTGCACATCTAGGATTGCTTCTTTGAGGAGCAACCACTCATCCTGAACTCCCCTCCCCTTTGGGCTGAGGCCATTTAAGGCCTTACTGACAAGCCTCCTGAGCTTGTCAAAGTCAGCTTTCCTGAAGTCGAGGACTTCTGTATTGCTGACTGACTTGCCAGCTTTATGGCGGATGGTGAAGGTGATCAGCTCATGGTTGCTGTCACCCAGATTCCCTTCAATCATTAGGTCGCTGATTAGGTCGTCCCCCATTGCCAGAACCAGGTCAAGCAGTGTTTTACCTCTCATTGGCCCGTAGACTTCTTACATCAGATAGAGCTCATCAACACATGAGAGAAAGCTTGGCATTCGCTCAGATTTAGCCGAGCGCTCTTCCCACGAGATGTCTGGGTAGCTGAAGTCTCCCATGACAACCATGCACCAGGAGTGTGCAGCCTCAGCCAATTCCCTGGCAAACTCCTGGTCAAACTCTTGACTTTGGGTGGGAGGTCTGTAGTAGACTCCCACCATTTTGTCCCCTGTGCTGTGTTCCCCATGGATTTTAATCCAGAGGGTCTCCAGTCATCCACCCTGGGTGCCAATGTTAGCTTGCAGGGATGCGTAGCTCTACTTGACATAGAGAGCTACACCCCAGCCCCTTTTGTCTACTTGATCCCTCCAGTACAGGGTATATACCTGTGGTCCAGTCATGGGTGGAGTCCCACCAGGTCTCCGTTATCCCTATGACATAGTAATTATTTGTGTTAAGCAGGAGGACAAGTTCCTCCTGTTTATTCCCCAAGCTCCTGGTATCTGTGTACAGGCACGCAAGTGTCCCTATAGGGGCCCTTGCCTTGCCTACAGCTCGCTCCAGGGCTGGGTCAAGGGTGGGCTCCTTTAAGTGCCTTGGCCTGCTGGCTTTGCAAGGGTTGCTCAGTAGGCCAGCAGTGACAATGGTCCCCCATCCACCGGCAGGCTTAGTTTAAAGCCCGGTGCAGCAGGTCAGCCAGTCTGGCTGAGAAGAGTCTCCTCCCCAGTGGAGAGAAGTGGAGGCTGTCCCTTTCTAGCAGCTCACTGTCTCTCTTACCAAAGAGCGGGCTGTGGTCATGGAAGCCAAAGCCTTCCCGAGTCCTAGTGGACTCCAAGATGAACATGAGTTGGCAGTGTGATGAAGCCATCAGAAAAGCTAACGGCACTTTATCGTGCATCAGCAGATGCATGACGAATAGATCCAAGGAGGTGATACTTCCCCTCTATCGGGCACTGGTCAGACCACAGTTGGAGTACTGTGTGTAATTCTGGGCGCTGCACTTCAAGAGGGATGCGGATAACCTGGAGAGGGTCCAGAGAAGGGCCACTCGTGTGGTTAAGGGCCTACAGACCAAGCCCTACGAGGAGAGACTAGAGAAACTGGACTTTTTCAGCCTCCGCAAGAGAAGGTTGAGAGGCGACCTTGTGGCTGCCTATAAGTTCATCACGGGGGCACAGAAGGGAATTGGTGAGTTTTTATTCACCAAGGCGCCCCCGGGGGTTACAAGAAATAATGGCCACAAGCTAGCAGAGAGCAGATTTAG